CTGTTCATGTCCTGGGCCCATTTTTTAGTTGGATTACTTTGTCTTTTTCCTGTAGAGGTGTGGTAGCTCCCTATAGATTTTAGAAATTAGTCCCTTGTCTGATATGTCATTGCAAAAGATTATGTTCCCATTCGGTGGGCTCCCTTTTTATGTATCTTTTGATGCACATAAATTTCTAATTTTTAAAATGCTCCAGTCACTTATTTTGTCTTCTTTTCTTGTGTAATTTTTGCAATGTTTCATAGTCTGTGTGTTCCCATGATTAGAGCCCTTAAATTTGTCCCTGTTTTTTCATTGATGACCTTTATAATTCTGGGATCCACATTTAGGTCTCTTTCTCTAATCTTGATACTACATTCTTTTTCATATAGTTCAGATTCTTGGATTATCTGCTCAGCATACAGACTGAATAAGTATAATGAAAGGATATAATCCTACTGCACACCTTTCCTGATTTTAAACCATTCAGTGTCTTCTTGTCCTGTTGTAAACTGCCTCTTGGTCTACATATAGATTAATCTTGAACACAATTAAGTGTTCTGGAATGGTTCATTCTTCACAGTGTTATCCTTTTTTTTTTTTTAATAAACCACACAATTGAATGCCTTTGAATAATCAATAAAACACAAGTAAACATCTTTTTGATATTCTCTACTTTCAGTCAAGATTCATCTGATGTCAACAATGATAGCTCTCATTCCACCTACTCTTCTGAACCCAGTTTGAATTTATGGCAGCTCCCTACTGCAACTGCTTTTGATTTATCTTCAACAGAATTTTACTTGTATGTGGTATTAATGATACTGTTTGACTTGATGGCAGTGAGTTTGGTTTGGGTTTCGATTCCAGTTACCTCATTACTAACTCTGAGTTTGTTAGCTTCGTGGAGCTCTAGTTCCCGTGTGTTTGAATGAGGATAATAAAACAAGCTTATTATCACCAACACTGAACAGAAAGAGCTTAGTAGAGTTCAGGCACACTAGGCACCCAATAACTGGTAGTTACAGTTTGTGCTTGACTATTAACCTAAGGTGGGTGGTTCAAACTCACCCATGATACTGTGGAAGAAAAGGTTGAGTGATCTGCTTCCATTAAGATTACAGCCAAAACACTCCTAAGAAGCAGCTCTCCTCTGGAATACATGCGATCACCATAAGTTGCAATCAACTTGACAGCAACTGACAATAACAGCTGCTATTACTATTAACAAGGAGCTCTGGGAGTGGTTACAAATCAGGTTGCTAATCTCATGGTCAGTAGTTCGAAACTACCAGCAGTTCCATGGTAGAAAGATGAGGCTTTCTGCTTCCATAAAGATTTACAGCCTCGGAAACCCTATCTATGCAGGGTCGCTATGGGTCGGAATCGACTTAACAGTACTTAACAACAACAACAACATTACTATTACAATCTCCATAAATCATGTAGCTCTAGTCATACTCCCTTTAACAATACAGCACTCAATAAATATTTTAAAAATTAGAATGACTGAAATCTAACACATGACAAGACCTTTCCTCCAAAGCAAACAAATTAGGAGGCGTAAGTAAACACTGTTGTTGTTGTTGTGCGCTGTGGAGTCGGTTCTGACTCATAGCGACCCTGTACAGGGTTTCCGAGGCTGTAAATCTTTACGGGAGCAGAAAACGTCATCTTTCTCCTGTGGAACAGCTGGTAGTTTCGAACTGCTGACCTGAAGGTTCCCATCCCGATTCGTAACCACTATGCTACCAGAGCTCTCTTAAGTAAATACTAAGCATGGTTAAATAAATACTAAGTAGTCTTTTCAGACTGACTTCCTTTTTTGTAAAGCACTAACAATATTTTCTCTTTCTGTGCCTCTTAACTTTTTTATTCCACTTGTAATTATAACACTCTCAAGAGTTTGTTTGTTTTTGAAATCTAGATCCAGCTCTTAAATATATTCTCATGCTTCTCCTGTGATTATTTCTAATCTTCCATTAGGCTGTGAAAACTGACATCCAAAAAAGCAAAGCCCCTGCCATTGAGTTGATTCCGACTCATAGTGACCAGGTGTAGGGTTTCTGAGGTTGTAAGTCTTACAGGAGCAGAAAGCCTCATCTTTCTCCTATGGAGTGGCTGGTGGGTTTCAACTGCTGACCCTGTGGTTAGTAGCCCAGTAAAGAGAGGTGATTTTTCTTCCTTCATAATGTATATATAAGTAAAAATACTTATTTGTATTTCTTCCATCACATATATAATTGTTGTTGTAGATGTCATTGAGTAGACTCCTATGTATAAGAGCACAAAACACCGCCCAGTCCTGCATACCATCCTCACCTTCATTCCTATGTGTGAGCCTATAGCAGCCACTGTGTTCTTCCAACCCGAGGGGTTCAACTTCCAGCACTATATCAAACAATGGTCTGCTGCTCTTCTTAAGGTTTTAGTGGTTAATTTTTCCTAAGTAGGCCACCTTTTCCCTCTTTCTAGTCTGTCTTAGTCTGGAAGCTCCTCTGGAACCTGTCCACCATGGGTGACCCTGTTGGTATTTGAAATAGTGGTAGCACATCTCCCAGCATCAGAGCAACATGCAAGACTCCCCAGTATGACAGACAGATAGACGAGTGGTGGTACAGACCATTCGCTTCTACAGATAAAACAGGACCCAGTAGTCTTAGCATAATTTAAATGTAGCTTAGAAATTAGAGGTTGAAGATATCAGAAAATGCATTTTATCTGTACAGTATTCTCAAATAATTAGCTAAAAACAATATATATGCTCATTGTTGATATGTGAGAGACCTCAGAGATATACAAGAGATATCCTTGCCTTATCAATTAGAAGCCTGTTTTAAGATTTTAAGGAAAAAAAAAAAATCACCAAATCTGAATTATTGATGCTAAGTAAGAGTATTGTGAATGGCAAATTTGGGTAATATAATCAAATAGGAGCCCTGATAGTGCAGTGGGTTATGTGTTAGACAGCAAACCAAAAGGTCAGAGGTTCAAAGCCACTAGCTGGTCCCCAGGATAACGGTGAAGCCGTGTGCTCTTGTGAAGATTTACAGTCTTAGAAACCTTATGGAGCTGTGCTACTTTGACCAATATCAGAGGTGGGGACATCTGCCTGGCCCGTGGGCCCACATAAGTTTATGAAATCATTGGTTTGGCCCTGCCATGGCGAATTAGCAACATAAATTTATATGAAGTGATGTTATAAATATCCAAGTGGCTCTTGTCAAAAAAAAAAAAAAAAGATTCCCCACCATTGTCCTACAGGGTAACTGAGTTGGAACCAAGTGGACAGTAGTGGGTGTTTGTTTTGTTTTATAATCTAATAATAACAGAAAAGCAACCAAAATCTTTGGGAAACTTCTGTTCTTGATTTTTAAGTACTTCTGTTACCAAACCATGTACTAGTAGCTAGTGATAAGGCTATTTCTTAAAAGCTCAAGTTCTAAAAAGCCCCTCTTTTTACCCTAATGTTCCTAGATTTCCTTCTTGTATAATTCACAAGGCTTCTTGTTTGTTTCTTCATATCTTTGCATATTAGAACATGAGTTATCATATGATGAAATAAGGTTTCAAGATTTTTATCTTACCTATTTCTTAATCCTCTCTTGGTCTGAGCAATGGTATATCAACTTTGTTGCCACTGTTAAGTACCATGGAGTCTAGCTGGGCACTGATCCCAACTTTTAATACCCTGAGCAAGATTACATAACACCCCTTAGGCATTTTCTTAGCAAATTTTGTATTCTAAAATGGCAGCGATACCTGTTTATTGATTTTTTAAAAAAATGTTTTATTGTGAATTACGAATCGGGCTGCCAACCTCAGGGCCAGCAGTTCGAAACTACCAGCTGTTCCGCGGGAGAAATATGAGGCTTTCTGCTCCCATAAAGATTTACAGCCTTGGAAACCCTGAACAGGGTCGCTATGAGTCGGAACCGACTCCATGGCACATAACAACAACAACTGCAATATTATGAAACTCCAGTTAAGGGTCAAAGTCAAGTGGATTCTGACTATAACGAATCAACAGGAGAGAACAGAACTGCCCCCATAGGGTTTTCAAGTCTGTAATCTCCATAGAAGCAGCAATGCCACATCGTTCTCCCGCAGAGCAACTGGAGGGTTTGAACCGGTGACATTTTGATTAACAGCTGGGCCCCTACTCACCTGCGTCACCAGACTCTTCAAAGACACTTAATATACTTAAATATAAAAGTTCGAGAGTGTCAAATAGAAGTAAAGAACTCACAGGAAGGTCATAAAATAGCATTAAAAGCCATGTGTTTAACTTACATCCAAATCATAATAAAATGGTCCAAAACAAACGAACAAAATGTGTCTGTATGAGAAAGGTGTCTTAAAACAGAAACAGAATTGCGGTGGTTCTTCTCAAAGTCGTGAGAAAAAAAGGGCAACCGAAACACAGTAAGAGGCAGTGAGAGGTCAAAGGACACGGAGCGAAAGACCTTCGGGGTTTCTCCGCACATGCCGGCTAGGGGTCGCCCTCATTTAGAAGGAAATCACAACTCTCCCCACTCCCTTCTGCTAATGCCCTCTTTCCACGGACTCTGTCCCCTACCTCCGAGAGCCGTGCCTAGGAAGATGCATTTCTTTTTGTGACGTTTCAGAAAATTCCACATAGATCTCAGCATCTTCGGCCCCGGGGCTACGAGCTGCCTAGGGGTTGGCGGGTGGTTCAGCAGGAAACCGTTCCTTCGTCACCGGGCCCGGCTAATGCAGCGGGTGTCCGCCAGAAATCTCAAACGCGACGTTCCGTAGAGCCTGTCACCGGAGTGGAAAGGGGGCGTGTAGTAGAGCTGAGCAGCTGCACTGACTATAACTACGGCCGCGGCGCCTCCGCCGCTCACTCGCCCAGAGCGCGCAGGTCCGTCCAGAATTCGCTCCCGGTTGTTGTGCCGTTCGGTCCCTCCGGAAACGGTAGCCCGCAGTCACTGCGTTCCGCTGCTCGAGTTGCTCAGCCGAGGGTCCACTGGAGGAGAGCGCAGCGGATCGGGTTCGGCATGGAGGTAAAGTCGGCGTCCTCGCAGGCTCCGGGCGGCGTGTGCTCGGTGTCCGCGGAGGAGATCGAGAAGTGGATGGAGGCAGCGATGCACATGGTGAGGAGCTGCGGGTGGGAACTTTCTCCAGTAGCGGAGGCCCCTTCCTCCCGAGTCTGGCATTTGAGCACTGTCTTGTCACCATAACCACCATGGTGCTCAAATTCTCTGAGTGAACAGCTGGTCTTACTGCCATAATATCTGTTTTAGTCTATTCTCACAGTAGTTTGGGGGAAGGAAGAAAGGAAAAGAAAGATACCTTCTGTTTCATTGTTACGAACTTTACCCCATTCAGCCTCTTACTGACACGTGCTGCCACCTCTTTCGCTGGACACAAACTTAAATCCTCAACCGCATTATTTTGTACTTGTGGCCCTTGTAACATATTTAGTAGAAGGAAAGAAGCTGAGGATGGAAAATTGTTCTGACAGCGGTATGAAAGAAAATAAGCTCACGTACTGTCACATTCATTCATTCATTCGTTCTACATCTGTCTGCAGCTTCCTTCCCTTACTTTCTTTAGGACTGCTGATTAAGGGCTTTAATTACATTTGCATATAATCCAATGTATGAATTTCTAAGCTGCTAACTGAAAGGTTGGAGGTTCCAGTTCACCCAGAGGCGCTTAGGAAGAAAGGTCTGGCTATCTACATCCAAATAAGCAGCCTTTGAAAACAACAGAGTTGTACTCAGAGGCACCTAGAGTTGCCTTGACTAGTTTACTCGTAGGACAACTGGCTATGTGCTTCTGAGAAGAATTTAAGGTTAGAATAGAATCACCCATAAACCCCTTGCTGTGGAATTGATTCTGAATCATAGTAACCCTACAGAACAGAATCCAACTGCTCCATAGGTTTCCTAGGCGGAATCTTTGTGGAAGCAGATGGCCAGGTCTTTGCTTCCACAGAGTGGCTGGTGGATTTGAACCGTTGACCTTTCTAGTTTCTTTACCATTGTGCCACCAGGGCTCCTTGGTATATATTTGCAAGGAGACCTGTTGGTGCAGTGGTTAAGTGCATAGCTGTTAACCAGAAGACCATCAGTTGGAACCCATTAGCTGCTTAGCAGGAGAAAGATGTGTCTGCTTTTGTAAAGAGCCTTGGAAAACTTCCGGGACTAGTTCTTCTCTGTTCTGTAGGGAAGCTGTGAGATCAGAATCACACAAATGACAAATCTGGAGACAGTAAGTTAATCTCTGATTAATGTGAGTACTAAATAACTTGAAATGTCCAGTATTGTTTACAGTAGGAAGGAGGCTCCCATTCTCCTAGCATAAGTATAAAGTATATATGGCCAATACAAAGAACCAAAACAGTATATGGAGGGGTAAATTAAATGATTAGTTTGAACCCGGACACAAAAGAATATTATACTGGGACATTATACAAGGCCTAAAGGAGCTCTGGAAGTGTAGTGGTTACGAATTGGGCTGCGAACAGCAAGGTAAGCAGTTTGAAACTACCAGCTTTTCTGCAGGAGAAAGATGGGGCTTTACAGCCTCGGAAACCCTGTACAGGGTCGCTATGAGTAGGAACCGACTCCACAGCACATTAACAACAACAAGATCTATCTAATTTTGGCTCTGATAGGACCAGGCAGGCAAACACAACCAAGTAATTCATTCCTGGGTCTTGTGTGTTTTTTCATTTTAAAGAGATTACACTACAAAATTTCTACTTTAGTTTACTTAGACTCTAAAAACAGGAAAATAGTTATTTAGAAATTCTAAGATATAATTTTATTAAGTTAGGAGGACTATGTTGTTGTTGTTGTTAAGTGCCGTCGAGTCGGTTCCGACCCATAGCGACCCTGAACAGGGTTTCCGAGGCTGTAAATCCTTACGGGAGCAGATCGCCTCGTCTTTCTCCCGCGGAGCGGCTGGTAGTTTCGAACTGCAGACCTTGCGGTTTGCAGCCCGATTCGTAACCACTACGCTACCAGTACAACATCAATATAACCTGTATTAGAGTTCATCAGAAAGAAAAAAAATGTGTATATACCAAACATGTTTCCATCAAGTTGATAAAGACTTAGGGCAACCCTAGAGGGCAGAACAGAACTCTCATAAAAGGGTTTCCAAGACTGCAAACCTTTGTCAAAGCAGATTGCCACATCTTTTTATTGTACAGTGGTGGGTTTGAACTGGTGACCTTTTGGTTACCAGCTGAGTACATAGTCATTGTAATACCAGGGCTGAAAATATGAAAAATTTTATATTTAAATTTCCGTGTGCCCTAGTAAAACAGTTGTTAAGCACTTGACTATTAACTGAAAGTTTGGCTGTGTGAATCCACCAGCAATTCTGTGGGAGAAAAGACATGGTGATATTCTTTTGTACAGATCACAGCTTAGGGACCTATAGAGCGCTTCTACTCAGTCTGGTAGCTTTGCTATGAGTTAGAATTGACTAGAGAACACACAATAGACACACATGTTGTTGGGTACCTTTCAGTCCCCACACAACCTTGCTTGCTAAATGTGAAGAAAACTTGAAGCCTTTTTTATAGTATAGCCTTCAGTATAGATTGTAACTTACTATAAATAAACAAAAATCCTTATAACTGGACCAATAAGCAACATCATGATAAACACAGTATACAAAGCAGTCATCAAAGATTTCATTTTGCTTGACTCCACAATGAATACCTATGGATACAGCAGTCAAGAAATCAAATGATGTATTGCATTGGGCAGATTTGCAAAAGACCTCTTTAAGTGTTAAACAGCAAATATGGCACTTTGAGGACTAAGGTATGCCTGACCCAACCCAGAGAATTTTCAGTCATCTCATATATATATGAGGAGTATATATTTGGAGCCTTGGTAGCGTAGTGGTTATGAATTGGGCTGCAAACTGCAAGGTCAGTAGTT